GAGAAGTCATTAGTTAGTACAAATTAACCAGCATGGTTGGGTCTGGGCGTGTGAACGAGACAAGTCATTTCTTGTCATGAGAACAGTTTCTCGACTTATCCCGTTCTTGTTAAGTCTAGGATTTTCTGCTAGTTTGTAAGCTCATCAAAGCAAATGCGTGTTCTTGAACTAACGGGTTGAGATATTAGCCCAGCCTTCCTTCAAAGGAACATCGGAATGCTTTACTCACAAAAACTTGTTCGAAGCTTCCCCATAGCATTTCGGTGGAAAGCTGAAAGACTTGCACATGGGACCATTTTAGGGAACATCTATGGACTTAGTTAAGCGGGTCCATTGCTATTCACTTGTTTATGAAAAAAAATTACCTCTCCAGAAGACGAGGTGTTACTAGGTTCCTCTTCGATCTCATTCTTTGGCCTTACCCATATCCAGTAATAGAAATGAAAGGATTTAATAGCCTTGCAGAGTTGCTTGTTGATATTTATGGCTTCGTGTACATTGAAAGTGACGCCGCCAAACCCTCTCTGCTGGGCAATTCCCTCTCCTCACTCTCTTCAATCTCTCCTTATGGTTCCCTTAGAAAAGTAAGGGATTTATTATTACTATGTATTAATTTAATGTATATTCGTGTACTAGGAGAAGAGGGCTTCATTCAGGACGCACTTTTGTTCATTTCCATCTTAATTAAACGTATTACATCGGTAAGATGAAGAAAGCTTGTTTTATTGCTTAAGAGGGTCAGTGCAGACAGTTTCTTGTTGATTGATTTACGAAGTCTCTCGCGTAGCCTGTACTGGTCTTTTTGACTTCCGAGATTGTGGGTTTGGTTGGCTCAGTTGCTGGCAAGGTTCCTATTCTATTCACTCCTATAAAAAGAGAAATTATGAGAATGACCGAAAGTACAGGGAAGACATTGGACGGACCAGAAAGCAGGGAATCTTGCCTTTGCAAGCAGCTATTGGGCTAAAACAAATAACCGAACGGAAGTTATTACACATTAAACAATCTTGGAGTAACTATATCCGGGTGTGACTAATCCCGAGGTTCTTTTTTTTCATATTACAATTCTCCGTGGTTTCTCATACCAAATAGCTAATGAGGGACCGAAGCTGATGTAGGTGTGTAAGTGTATTTCTCTTTTATCACTCCTTTCTACAATATATGTTTAAGCCGGATTAGCAGCTTATGTTCTACTTCTACCTGAATGGATATAGCGTTTATTTTGGCGGTCAAAGTAGGAGTATCGTTTCCTTCTATAAATCTATCCTTGACCTAGGATTTATCCAAGTTTCAGTCATAAACCTCCAAATAATTTTGTGTCCCTCACGCATAATAAAGTACTAATAGTCGATTTCTTCCAACAATGTTTGAGAGATCTTCACGCATAGTTTATAGACCAAACAAAAAACCTTAAAAAATACACATAAATAAATACCAGTATCAAAAGAGGAGAAAAGAGACAGCAAGAAGAAGATTCCTGAAGGACACTGACCCCCACCAATCTTTTCTTTGATAACCAAATATACTTTTTGTAACAGGCGAGACACGTTTTGGAGAACAATTTCATATACTAGGTCTTTTCGGTAAAAACACTGAAAAAATCCTTTACTGTGGGGGATAGTTCCTTTCTGCTTTCTTCTAACTCTGGTGTACTTTTTGAGAGTTTGTATTAATTTATATCAAATAAAAAAAAAGCCCTATTCTTGAACGTTTTTTCCTGCTAGACCACATTGACGAACTACCACTAATCCAATACACATAGAATATGCGATGGAGGCTGTGGGTTAATTGTCTGCCTCTCATTAAACCATCTACTGTTTGGGAGGTGTATAAACGAGGCACTAACTTGGATATGCTCCATTGAGCTCCTAGTGGTAGGAGTGATCGTTGTTGGTCTGTGTAAGAGAAGTATCACCGTTAGGAACTTCCACATTGTATAAAAGGCGCGATAGAATTTAACCAACACTGATCTTATTTCTTTTTCTAGAGTACATAACGTATAGTGAAAGGTTGTCCCCTACATGTTCTATAGTTATTTTATCCACTGCTCTTATATATTCGGTTCCACATTCATGTCATTTATTCTATCAAGAGTCAGGATTATTAAGAAATTAAGGAGAAAGTACTGACGACCATTGAGTATAAAAGTACACTTTAAAATTATCAACCATATACTTATAGACAAACCATTATTCATTTGGGGATAGGGGATAAAACCTGAATTAATACCTGCTGGAGAGTCTAATAGTGGGAATTTGATTGTTTACAAAACTTAAAAGACAAAATGCTGGGCACTGAGAGTGATATTTGTATTAAAAAATCTAATCCAGAGTCAGTAAAGGTGTCCTATAGATGCGTGAAATATTTTGCTAATAATTTGAGATATTATGATCCACAGAATTCGGCTATATAAGTTCAAAAAAAAAAAAAAAAAAAAAAAAAGAAAGAAGAAGAAGAAGAAGAAGATGTTCAACATGCAATATGAAACAAATTATTTGAAAAGCACTGAGATTTACAGTTAAAAAAAATTTATGGGATATTTTGTTTTTGATTGAAAATGAATAGCTTCTCTTGAGTTTTTGTAAAATGAGAAAACCAAACACTTCTTGAGGGAGGATGACTTCCAACACTACTGTTGGATGAAGGCATACTTGAAGGCCCAGAGTCTATGAGATGTGGTGGAAACCGACACAGAAATCGTTAAAAGACTTTTCAGTAAAATTAAATTCTAATTAATTAATTCCATTATACACTTAATATATATGGTTAATTAATAAACTATTTAATTAAATAAATATCAACATAACAAAATCATTTGATAGAAATTAATTAATACGTGGTATTGATTGATAAAATTAAAAGAAGTGCTAAGATTTGATAAAAACGTTAAAATTCATGATTTTTTTTGAATATACATAGATACATGACTTTACGCTGACATTAGATGTTGTAGGGCTCATTTGTGAGAGATAACTGTCACATTAGCCATACATGCTTTTTTTTTGTTATTAGGCCTTTTTGAAATATAAAATAAACCAAAAATTAAAAATATTTTTCAACATAGGTGTTTTCTCTGTTACTCCACACTGTGTTAATTAAATCTTTTTGAATAATTTTTTTCTATTAAACAAAAATGGAAAGATTAACTAATACAAGAGAAAATGTAACTTTAATTAATTTGATTACTGAATTGTTGGTTATGCTTAATGTTATCATCGTTTAGTTTTCATATCATATTCAAAATTAAATTAAGTATCAAATTTAAATCAATTTAGAAACATCAGCAACCAAAGCAATGATATGCTAAAATTTATAAAATACTTGTAAAATTAAATTATATATAATTTTTACATTATTTTATTTTATTTAACCCTTTTATTAACTAGAAAATAGCTTCTGTTATAATTTCAGTAATAAATCTTCAATTATTGAATTAATTAATTGATTTATTCATTTTTTAACTCAAAATTTTTTTTTTATTGTGATCGATGAATATTGTAATTTTTTATTTTTTAATAAAAAATAATTTAGTAAGACTACCGAAAATCCAGATTAATTTCTAATTCAACCTATTTCATCCTGTTTTAGAGACCTGAATTCCCCTTCCGTCCCGTCTCAAAATGTAAGACGGAATGAGACGAGACTACATATCAATTAAGATGAAATTGAAACACCATTTTTTATGTCCTAATATTTTAGAATGAGATTAAAAATTATGTAATTTCCATCCCAACCGGATCCATACACACCGCCGCTAACAGACGAAGGAAACAAAAGCGCAAGCCCCAAACCAAATTCCTTTTGTAAACCAATTGTTAATTGGTGCCTTATTTCGTCTACTTTTTATTTTTTTTTTTTAAATATTAATTTTATTTTAATTAAAATAAATAATTCTACAATAACATATATACATACACACCCATTTATTTCATTTCTTTCTCTTCTTTTTTTTTTTCTTCTTTAAAAAATAATTGTCCTGTGAGTCTTATAAATAATTTTCTTACATATTCCAAAATAAACTCACAAAGAAAGATGCACAATAATTTACTAAAGTAAATAAAATAAACAGTCGAACTAAATAGTCTAATTTGAGCCAAGCACAACTTTTACTGTAGTGAGGCAAAATGTCTAAAATGCCCTGAATAGGTTTAATGCGACAGATTTTATTCATAGAGGTTTGCCCGGTATAGTGAAAGATGTATCAAATCCAAGTTGAGCCAACTATATTTTTTTTTAATAAAGAAATAAGCTAAATTAATTTAGCTTGATAATTGTAGTAAGAATTTCTGCCAAATGAACTTGATTGTAAACATTGATTAGTTTAGACTTTTGATGGATAAAATAAAATTAAGGCATTGAAATAGAAAACTTGACTTGATAAAACTCAAAAAAAAAAAAAAAAAAAAAAAAAAAAAAAAAAAAAAAAAAAAAAAAAAAAAAAAAAAAAAAAAAAAAAAAAAAAAAACCAATCAATTAATCAATTTTTAAAAACTAACCCTAAATTAATTTTAGTTTTTTCAAAAAAAAAAAAAAAAAAATCGCCCTAAATTCTCTTCAAAAAGAAAAAGATAAAAAATTCATACAATATTTCAAACTCTTAAGTTTAATAAAAAAAAAAAAAAAAAAAAAAAAAAAAAAAAAAAAAAAAAAAAAAAAAAAACCAATCAATTAATCAATTTTTAAAAACTAACCCTAAATTAATTTTAGTTTTTCAAAAAAAAAAAAAAAAAATCGACCCTAAATTCTCTTCAAAAAGAAAAAGATAAAAATTCATACAATATCAACTCTAAGTTAATACATTATTTTAGTTTTTCAAAACTAAAAATATTTTATAAAGTATTATATCTGCTTTAATTTGAAGAACAAAACTGAAACTAAAGAATATATGAAATTTAATGTATTATTTTTATGTCAAAAGCAATTTCACATACAGATGCGTAATTATTTTTATGTCAAAACCAACCTGCCACTTCCATTTCACTCCAGTCACATAAGCTAAGTGGCTAATCTAACAGATTTATTAATTAACAGAAAAGACATAACAAGATAAATTCTAATAGATGTTTTGAAAAATCTTCTAAGCAAGTTTGTCTTCTCCATTGTTCCTGTTTTAATATCCACAAATCGGATTATATAAGCAACAATATACATTCTCTCCCTCTGTACCCCAATAAAGATTAGGTACAATGTAAATATTGTAAGAAAATGCAAAATAGAGAACCAACCTTAAGTGAAGCATGCCTGGAACCATTTAACTTTTGTTGGAACTTCCTGTAATCTTCTTGGTTCAAATATCTCCACAGCTGCAGGTTGGAGAGATGGCTGTTCTAGTGCAACTCCAATTCACAGAGGTTCAGTCTCCCTTTTGAGGCTTTCCTTTGAGTCCTTCAGCTTTGGGCATCTCCTAGGATCAAAAGTATCTAGAGCAGGCAACATAGCCCCTATGCTTGTCAACTCAGGCAGTTCTAACAAACGCAATGTGTGCAAGCGTGGGCAAACGCATTTGCTTGACTTGTTACTCGTAAAAACTGTCTTGAGTCTTTCACAAAATTTAATTTGAAGAATCTTGAGATTCTCTAGCTGAGAGGGCAAAGGGCAAATACTTTCAAGCATTGTGCAACAATCTATATGCAGATCTTGAAGATTATTGAAGTTCACCTTCTCACTGCATAGACTTTGCAATTTAGGGAGGTTTGAGACACATAAAATCTCCAAATTCTCCCCCAGTTCAACATCTGTTCCATTGCAAAGAATGCTCTTCAATTCTGAACATCTTTCTAGCCAACAGCCCTTCATCTTCTTCATGTTGCCACCACCGAGATCAGACAAGGAAGTCATACATACATTTTCAACCAAAAAGACATACTCGACATCCTTGAGGATGTCCTCAAGATCACTAGGAAATTCATTAAATCCATGAATTTCCATAGTCTGTACCCGCTCTTTAGGATGAGAAAAGTGCTTAAGCTGGAAGTAGATATTGTTCATTAGTTCATCATTGGGGCGATAAATAGTAGGATCAGTGTCTTGATTCATAGGATAGACTGAGAAAAAAATCTGCTTCAAATATGTCTCTCCCAACTTGGAATTTTCCTTCAAAAATTGGAAAAATTTGGTACCATTTACCAGTATGGAAGGTTTCTGCTTATTATCTGAATGAATTTCAACTGGCTGTGAAATACTGCATTGATCCCAGTTTAGCTCCTCTGGAATGCGATTTATATTCTCCCAACCAACTTCTTCAATGACTTTCAGGTCTGGCAGATCAAGATGAGTTAAACAAGTCAACTCTGAAATCCCATCAGGAAGTTTCTTGATTCTGGTTCCTGATAAATCAAGAACCTGAAGATACCTGAGTGATTTCAAAGGTGGCAGCTTCTCTAAGCTTGAACAACCCCTAAGCAAAAGCTTGCAGAGTTGGCTAAGTTTGTCCAAAGATGGGAAAGATCTAACAGCTGTGCCCGAGAGATCCAGAACCGTAAGTTTCGTAAATGCTTCCAGATGTGGCTCTGATTCTAAGGTCAAACAATCTTGTAGAGAAAGTTGCCTGAGATTGATTAAGTTGGAAAGGCCAGAAATGCTTAAAGTCCCCTCAACCTTAACTTTAGATAGGTCAAGAATTTCAAGGCTTGTTAAGCATTCAATGGATTCAGCTTTGATCTCAGACAAAGAGCTTGAACCAGATAGATCAAGCACCTCCAGCTTTGATAAGGAATCTAGTGGTGGAAGTTTTTCTAGGTTAGTGCAGTTTCTCAAAACAAGATGCAAGAGGTTGCTTGGATTGCAAAGATATGGTATACACTTAATTTTAGCTTCAGACAGGTTGAGAGTCTGAAGTCTAGACATCTGCTTAAAGGATTCCTCCTGTATTACTGTCAAAGATCTACAACCTGAAAGATCAAGAACCTCAAGCCTTACAAGTCCTTCAATGTTTTGCAGTTTCTTAATGGATGAACAATCCCTTAGCAAAAGCTTCCGGAGGTTAGGAAGGTTAGAAATTGAAGGTAAAGAAGTAATTTTTGTTTTTGAGAGATTAAGACATCGAAGGAGTTTCAGATGTTCAAAGGATTTGTCTTTGATTCTGACCAAATTACAGGCATCAGAAAGATCAAGTAACTCAAGCTGTTTGAGTGTTTCTGTACAAGGCAGCTCTTCCAGGTTAGAACAACCTTTCAATTTGAGATCACAGATGTTCAAATTGTCAAAAGACAATTGACTTATAAGAGTTCCAGATAAATCAAGAACTTTGAGGTCATCCTTTTTCTCAAAGGATTCATCATTGATTTCCTTCAATATAACAGCACCTGAAAGATCAAGAATTTGGAGACCAGATAATGGCTTCAGACTGGGCAGTCTAGCTAAGCAATTACAACCATTTAATAATAGCCGCTTGAGGTTTCTAAGATATGGAAATACTTTGGCATCTTGAAATATGGGTAGGCGTTGAATTTTAGTATGTGAAAGGTCAAGGATCTGAAGTTTCTGGAGTGGAGCAAAGTTTTTGTCTTGGAACCTTTTGAAAGAGGTAGCACTACAGAGATCAAGCACTTCAAGATTTGTAAAAGCCTGAAGTTTTGGCAAATCTTCCAAGCGAGAACACTGCCTAAGGTTTAGCCAACGAAGTTCTTTCAAGTTGGAAATAGAAGGTAAAGATTTGATGCTAAGTCCAGATAGGTTAAGGCTTCGAATGTGAGACATTTGCTCAAATAGATTGTCTGGGATTTTTTTCAAGGAGAAAGCATTGGATATCTCAAGAACTGTCAAATTTTTCAGGTCTTTGATGCAACTGACATCCTCTAGTAGATCACAGCCCCTCAGAACAAGCACAAATAGATTGCTCATTTTAGATAAAGATGAGGGCAGCAAGTTGAGTCTGGGATTGAAAAGCACTAGAACTTCTAGTTCAGGCATGTACTGGAAGAAAGTTTGAGGGACTTCCCTGGAGAGACGGCTTCCATCTATCACTATAGTAGAAATATTATCCCCTTTTTTACCAGTAAGCAGTGTTTTTATAATCCCATCAATCTGTGTAACTCTCCCAAGACCTCTCCATTTCTCATCATCAAGCACACTTGCCAGTCCCACACTGGCTGTCCCAAAAAATCCACGATGACGACGATCGACCAAATTCAGCAGCAATCCTTCCATGACAATGATATTATCCTCTTGAATTTTTAATATGCCACAATTTATAAGCTCCATCAAAATTTGGTGTCCATGATCATAAGCCTCCTCCAAATGATTAAAAGAGCCTAAATAGCCTTCTATTAGCCAGTGAGTGATCAACTCATTGTAATGCACACCACCATATCTGGAGAACAATTGCATGCTATGCCAAAAACAATCATCCAAACGGCGTGGTAACATGTCATATGTACATTGCAGTAGTGGAATTAGGTCATTGGCTGCTTCTTCTAGGGCGCTTTCCATTGTCCAAATCTTTGAATCATGTTGTCCAATGTAGTTTAAGGCTCCTGCTACAAGGATGATTGCAGCAGGCAAATGGAAGCTCTTTTTGGCAATAGCTACAGAAAGTTGTCCGAAATCTGAAACTTCAGCAACTCTTTTGTCAACACTATGTCGCAATAAAGCTAAGGACTCGTCCTCAGAAAGAGATTCAATTGTAAAAACATTGGGTTCAACCTTAATTACTGCCCCAGCATCTTCAGAAATTTGACCACCATTGTCATTTCTTCTAGAAATTACAACCTTCAACATATTTTGGTCGCTCTCAGGAATTACAGTTTTCAGTTTTGGCAAAATCAAATCCTCCTTCATCTTTTTTCCCTCATCATCCAAAATCAGAATAAGACATTTGTTTCCATCTTGATTTGCTGATCTCAGTGCTTTGAGCTTTGTTAAGATCCTTCGCTTCAAACTTTCTAGAGTCTGCTCATAATTCATATTGTTTTCATCATGTTCCCATTCCTCAGAAGTGAAATGCACAGATAACTGACGAGCTATGCTCTCATAAAGTAACCAGTCATCAAATTTCATGTTGAGAGATAACCAGAGACTCGCATAGCATATGCCTCCACTGATTGCAGATTCACATATCTCTCTTGCCATCCATGTTTTGCCCACTCCAGCTTCCCCTTCAAGAATAATTTTTATTGAATTCTCTTTCTTTAACTCTTCCAGGATGTCCTTTTTCTGCCTTTCCAATTTTCTCAAGGCCATTGCTGATATAAAAAATCCAAAATGAGAATTCTGATAGATCAAAGAAAGTTGCATAATTAAGAGAAAAGAATAAATAGATCCACTTTCCCTCCTCTAACATATCACATCAACAAGTGAACGTTTTAATACTTGGGGATTCCTTTTTCCTTTTTCTCTTCCTCAGTAGAAACTTAGATCATGCACTCAATGTTCCAAGCTTTTTAGATGCAAAATGAAATACAGGTCAATAGCATTTCAAACCTATTTACATGGGAAACATGAGAACATCAAATGTAAACTAATCAAGTTAGTAAAAAATATGTTGTTGCAAGCAGATTTGATGCTTAACCAGTTGCAGAAAATCTACATTATACTTGAATAACTTGTTCACATAGATAGAATCACTGGATGACAAAATAAATGACATATGTATGAAATTATCACTAAGATTATCCAATTTTTCTCTTTTAAATTCAACCCCATACTTCATAATTCTGTCACCATTTGTTTCATTTTAGAATGACTAAAAGTAAGATACTAAAATTTACAAAAAGAATTACTTGTTCTTTATCCATATATAGAATTTATGGATTCCCTAGTTCTATGATTGATTTTTTTTCCCTAGATCAAAACCCTGCAAGCTTCACTACAATGTAGTAAACAATAATCAAGAAATTCCTGGGTATGAACTGAAAATCTCAAAAAAAAAAAAAAAAAAATAGAATTTATGGATCCCTAGTTCTATGATTTGATTTTTTTTCCAGATCAAAAAACCCTTGCAAGCTTCACACAAATGTAGTAAACAATAATCAAGAAATTCCTGGGTATGAAACTGAAAATCTCAAAAAAAAAAAAAAAAAGTATTTACTCAAAAAAAAAAAAAAAAAGTATTTAAGCAACAGCGATAGATTTTCAGCTTTGAGATCAAAAACCCAGCGACAGAATTAACAAATTAAAGATTATTTGTGGTGAAAGAAAAAGAAAATTGCATTTCAAGAAATAGAAATTACTGCCAAAGCAAAGAATATAGAATGAACTGAAAACATAAAGCAGGAAATAAGGAAAAAAGGGAAGTGAGAAACCTGCAGTTTAGTTTTAGCTGATCTGAGTCGTCTGCCAAAATCCGCTTACTCGCATCTGCTATTATTGGCTTATAGTTGGAGACTCCTTCTATAAGTCAGGGTCAGGTCAAACAACATTTCACTAACAGGTCAATGAAATATTATTATTTTGTACGTTTCTCCCACAAAATTTTTATTAAATCATCAACTTGGCCTTTTTTTTTTTTTAAATTAGTTCATTAATATTGTTTTTTAACCAAATTGACCCTAAAATTGTTTATTTTGGCTAATTTAATTAAATCTGTCCTGCAACACTTATATATCCACAATACATCTCTTTTTCTGTTTAAAAACTAACCTTTCAAAAGAAAAAAAAAAATATAAACACAATGGAAAAAAATGTCAAAGTACAAGCAAAATAAAGATTTCAAAAACTCTAAAATAAATTGCATTTTGTTTATTATGATTTGATTTGGTATTTTATTACTTATTCACATTTTATATACTCAATTTACATTAATAACCCGTTTGAAACAAATGAATTCCATAAAATTTTGTAAAATTCATTTGGAAATTCAAAATTTTATATTTGAAAAAAAAAACAACAGATTTAAATTCCTTGAATTGAATTTTATAAAATTAGGAAAGCTTAAATCAAATTTTATTAAAATTCTTGAAATTTATAAATGAATTCCATAAATTAAACCACTAAAATTTATAATGACCAAATTGCCCTCATCCCTAGTATCAGCACCTATTCTCTCATCTCCTCTTCGTCGGCTCCTCTTCTCCTCTGCGGCTCATCTACTACCAAATCTCCTCCCCAGCTGATTATATCCTCTTCAACCATCTTTAAGCATAGTTAAGACACCGAAACATCTCCATACGAATGAAAGTGCTTATCTTATTGTTCTGGTGACTGCATTATCTCTTAACTTCATATTTGTTTTAGCATTCACCAATTTACGGACTTTTTCAGTTTTGGCAGTGATGTGTTTCCTTGGTGGACTTGGACTATCGACCCAAATTAAGAGCAGTATCATTCTTTCTAGCTTATTTTGCAAGCAATTAAAATATGAGCTTTTAAAATTTAATTAATTAATTAATTAATTAGGGGCAATGTGTAAGCGTATTTATTTATATGAAATTCATTATTGAAATTTATTATTTATATTTTAATAAAATAACAAATTATTATATTGTGTATAATAAATATAATTAGTGTCTTTATTAAATTATTATATCGAGGGCATTTTAGAAAATCAAGACAAATGAATTTTCATTTAAAAATTTGTTCCAAATATGATTTTGTAGAATTCAATTGAATTTTTTATTTTAAATTATAAAATATCAAACATGATAAATTCATTTAAAATGAATTCTACTTGAAATTTATTTGAAAATGAATTTTACAACCATGATTTATTCGTTCCAAAAGGATATAAAATTTGAGATGGAAATAAATTTTGACTTAATTAGCTTAAAACTAAAAGTTCAAAGGTTAAAAGAATCTTTTAGATGTGATTGTACCAATTAGAAAATTCAATTGATTAGTAAAAACTCAATCTAACCCTTAAATTTTATAAAACAAAGAAAACTCAATTGAGTCCTCACACTTCCTTTTGGATTAAATTAAATCCTTTAAAATCAAAAATCTGAATCAAAATTAAACCCCTTAACTGGTCCTCCTTTAATTAGTAAAGTTGATTTTTGTTCCTCTAAGTATTTAATAAAAATAGATCAAATATATAAAAAATCAAAAATCTGAATCAAAATTAAACCCCTTAACTGGTCCTCCTTTAATTAGTAAAGTTGATTTTTGTTCCTCTAAGTATTTAATAAAAATAGATCAAATATATAAATTCAATCATGTAATTTTTGTAAAAAACTTTGTGATATTTAGATTTTGAAAAAGATTTATTATGCACTTAAAGTAACGAATTTAGAAAAAAAAAAAAGCACATATCTTTACTATTTCGCATTCAATGATCCATATTTCAAAGATGACATGCACGGAAAAGGACCCTCCCACACAGACACTTCTTCAGGGGCATTCTTCAAAACATCTTATCTATAAATCTGTAACTTGACATGACTTCCTCAACACAACTACTCTCATCTATTATAGCTAAACGTGAATTAGACATTTAGGGTGAGAAGCTTGTGTCATCTAGTGACGGAGCTAGGATTTAAAATTAAAAAGGCTAAAAAAAACTTCAAGAGTTAGTGGGGTTAAAATTGAAAAAAATTATCGTTGTAAAGGTAAATAAAAAAATTCAAAATTTTATGTGTCCCAATAGGAAAACCCGACCTTAACCTTAAATGGATATCATCCATCAGTAGTGGGCGAGCTTTAAAGAACAAGTATCACTCAACCTTCAATCACACAATCCAGGAACTTCCACAACATTGGCATGATTTGGTTACATTAAAGAGTTTTATGTGTGTCCTAATTAGAAGATTCAGTTCTTCTGCAACCTTTAACCTTAGGAATGAATAAGATGGTATCCATAGATCTTCCAATTCAGCTCAAGGAGACTGGAGTTCGAGCCTTTCATAAAGAACAAACGTGTTATACTGAGACTTCAACCTTCTATAGTATCTGGACAACACATCCAGAGAACTTCCAACATCAGACCATAAGTTACTTCAGTGACGCATTTTGGAATTAGCATTTTGGTGTGCAACCAGCACACGGAGTGTCCCTGGCAGTAAGCATATCACATGATCGTTTAGAAGGCCAGAGACTCGCCTAACACTTACAACATTGATATAGCATCCGAGGAGGTGCGTGGCCCACCCCAGTTTTCAATAACCGTGTTTTGACATGCATCCCTAAAAATCATCAATCGATACACCGACATCGGTTATTTTTCAAATTGAGGCAAATAAGACCACAACTATATATAATATTAGAGGTGAATACATTCTTAATCGTAACTCTTCCACGTTTTCGGGGTTAATAGGAGGATATTTATAGCACCCAGCCAAATATAGATCGAATTTCACTGCAAAGTAAGTCTCATTGGTGAATAGCCAAGAAGAATAATACTTTAAATGTAGAACTTATCATTGCAGAGCCTAATAGTATCCTCACTTGTCAGTAGCCTTTTATTGACAAGTCAGATAGGAGGATTAGCTAGTCGTGAGCCCCGTTGCTTCGCTCCTATCCTGGCGAGTTCCATATGCGGGTGCACGCCCAGATGCATTCTCTTTTCGATGAGATATATTTTCATTATATATATCGTGTTTTTTTTCTTATTCACTTTATATATTGATAATAATATTCTTAGGTATCAAAGCTAAATGTATGTGTTTTTACCTTGTTCGAATAAATTTTTATATGCTCTTCATTCCTCCTTATCTCTGAGAATTTGTCTAATGTCATTTAGTTCTCTAAATAGCCTATGTTTTTTCTAACAATTCTTTATTAAATTATTAGGTACTACTCTTAATGACTGTTATGGCGATAACTCTTTATAAATGTAAACCCTAGTGTATTATATTCTTATTTACTTGGTATATGTGCTCCATTAATGTGATGGTAATGATGACTCCTGATCCTCTTAAAAAATAAATACGCAGATGACTCATGGTGTCATCCCTCATACATAGCATGCACAAAACTACGATTATTGCTGAGATTTCCTCAATGAAGATAAGAGCCAAGTTATACGCGAGTTCTAAAATAACTCATATCATCTGCACATACATACTCCAACAAGTTATACAAGAGACCAACTCGACTAAGACTTATCCGAAAGTTTCACAGAAAACCATGTAATAAACAAAAACTATGAGAAGACATCTACGGACTGACAACTCAAATCTCAATACACAGGTGTTAAGCCTGATTTAGAGAGAAGCTCACTTAAAACGAAATCTCTCGATAGCTGTGACTCTATATTCACTAGAACCTATTGTAGAGAGAATACATATACAAGAAACAAACAAGGCTAGCAGTGGTGCAAATATAAACTCACCTATGATCACGAACTGTTACAACTGGCATACTGACGAAAAAAATATTCATACCAATAATCCCCACAACGCACGTATAAAAAACCTCAATATCAAACAACAATAGATCAGATGAACCATAAGTTATTAGTATCATAGGTTCACGGCTCTGACCATTGAGAGAAAACTTACGGACAAAAGGCCAAAGGAAGAAACATAAATCTGCTGTTACGGTGAGAATCGAATTGCCGCAACGAGGTAACCCATAATATAGATCTACTGTTATGGATCAAGGTATGCTTCCGCTTATTGTTTATTTCTATCTAACAAATTCTATGAACAATAGATCTAGGCTATATTAAAGATTATTCAACATGTGATATCAGAGCCTATACCTGTTCTAGATTTGTTTGATAGCGTTTTGTTTGGCTTAATTTATGGAAAATTAATTTTGTATTGTGATGATTGAACGAAGCCAAAATTATAGAAATTTGAAAACTGTTCGTTTTCTTTATAAATTATTTTGCTGTAATTTATAGAGAATGGCTATAACATATTATTGTGTTATGTCGTTAAAGTTTTAAGATCTTAATTCAATCTCATAAAAGTTTTGCATAAATCAATGTTTAATAAATGGAAAACTTGTTAGTCACCAAAGTGGTTGGCCTTGTTCTGGATTAGTTTAGACATTGGATTATGCAACTTTTAATTGTTTTCATGATTGGTGATGCCTTAATGACATGATGAAAGTTAAAATTTGAACCAAATTGAGATCATTGATTATTAATTTGTTAGGTTACCCAAAGGTAGACCATTTAATTATAATCAATTTAATTATTTAATTCAATGCATTAAAGAGACTTATCATTGGGACTAATTAATATGAATGTTATATCCAAAGATGACATGCATATTGTATGGGAGCATTATTGAATAGTTGAATGAATAAAAAAGAAAAAAACGTAAATTTGGGATTCCAGGAAAGGGAGCACGGGCGTGGCTATGGACTTCCAGAGAGAAGCACGGGGCGTGCTTCTCTCTGACTTGCATTAAGTCCTCGCAGTTGCTCTGCCAATGAAAGTCTATTTAAAGTATTTTCTCTCTTGGCATCAATTTATGATTAAAGCTATGGCATTTAAATATTACCCAAAGGTGAATCTTAGATGTATATATTAAAAGTTGTTTATTGTTTGAATCCAT